CAGTCTTTGGTGTACAGGCAGAAAAAGGCAGAACGCAAAAGGGACTGAATGCAGAGGCATGGGGAAAAAAAAAATGATCAATGAACAGTTATGGGAACTATCAACTCATGTTGATGGCCACGGATGGTCGGGGAGGAACTCAGTTCTACAGCTTAGTTAAAAAAATAAAATAAAAATCATAGGTCATAGATTCTGTGGGTGTAAACTGGGATAGCTCCTTTGGTTTCAGTGAGCTGTGTTGTTTGAGAGTGTAGCTCAGTGCAAGTGTTGCCTTTGGTGTGCATCAGCTGGGCACATGGCCGTGTGCCACTGTGTATAGCGGGCAGCAGAGCTCCAAATCTGTGTTGGAGCTGTTTCTGAACAACGAGCATCGCCCACTGGTGCCAAAGACACCTGGAGAGTTCTCCCTTACGGGTCTATCGGCTTGAGCTGATGAAGGCTTCCTTGTAAGGCTACCCGTCTCTCTTCTTGCATGGGGGAGCTGCAGGACTGGAGAAAAGAGGTAGAAATTAAAGTTGACCTGCAAGCAGATAGTTAAATGCATTTAATTTTAAAAAGTTACAGAAGGAAATAATGTAGTCCAGGATTTAATTACATCAGAAAAAAACTTAAGTAAGTAATTACAGGATGCCATTGGCTGTACCTTTGGAAACAGATTAATAATGATGGCATGCCCAAAGCTGTAGTCAGCTATCCTGTGTCATGGTTTGATGTAGCAAAGAGGTTAAAAGACATTAAGTAAAATACAGTGTTTCAAACTGTTATTGCAGCATTTGGGGATTTGGTATCTCATGGAGAAAAAACCCTTCGGGATATTTCATCACCATCCAACTTGACTTCCAGCATCAACATGTTCAACAAAATCCTCAATTTTGGGAAGGTCAGTCTGTATTTGCATACTAGCTGAGTGTGAGCATTTATGTACAGTCATATTTAAAGAGTTAGAAGCTCAAAGTAACAACGTACAGCTTTTACTGCTTTCGGATCTCCCCTATTATGTGAATGTGCTTTATTTTGTGAAGAGAAAGACAGTTATTTTAAGCTCTGTGGTAAATTTATTATCTTTTAGGCAGAAACCAGATAAACCAGACACTTTGGGACATAATACCATGAATTACCAAATATGGCCACCCACAATACCCTGAGATACTTTGCTCAAAACTTGTGTGAGTTAAGGTGTTTAGAGTGTGTTTTCTTTCACATGAAATTAAAGATATGATATTACAGGCTTTGCCATTGAATTCATTATTTGCCCACAACACTCCTGCAGTGGCATCAGAGGGACTGTGTGTTTATTATGTAGGTATTGACTACATATAGGAACAACTCCTTTGTAACAGAAACTTGGTACCATGTAATGGACACTGGTATGCTTATGTTTTTGTATTAAGGCCTACAAACACTTATGCACACATTTCTCTCTATCTACATGAGGAGTTTGAGGGATTTCAGTGACACTGTTCACCTGTTGGAATTCTGTATGTATGTAAGTGCTTGTAATGACAATGCTTTTCAGATGTCAGTACTACCCCTTTAAAAAAGTCTCATCACTGCGTTTAAAACCATCCCAAATAGAGTATTGCTTTAAAGCAACCTTTAACGTTACATCTTACCTTTAGAGCGAGACCAAATATTCAACTGCAGCAAATCTCAAAGTCATTCTGTGTGAGATCTTGTCACGATACGTAGCACATCCTGGTCTTACTGAAGAGAAGATGGCAGCCAATATCCATCGGACATTCTGCTTTACTGACTCATCGCTTTTAGACTCATTTACTCAAGAGTTCAGAAGTCAGTTCTCTCAGGTGAGTGCCTAGGACCTTTCCTAATATCTGCAGCTAGTGTTAGTTCACACACGTTATTGCAGTGTTTGGGAAATAGAACATGACCCTACCTGGCCAGGAGTTGTTCATCTCTATACCAAAGTGCATATAGTGCATGATGAGGCTGAGCTAATTCTTGTGACTGGGATTAGCCCAAAGACCTTAGAGTTGAGTACACAGCTCGGAAAGGCAAGGACATCCAGCCATCAGGTTGTGGCCACTAAGGGTTCTCACCATACCTAGGTCTTGTTTCTGCTCTTTATTTACCCTGCTGCAGCGACAGGTAGATAGGACATTGTGAGGATGTGGTAAATAAGAATATTTAAAGCTAGGGGAGGCAATAAATTTGATCATGTATTACCTCAGCCATATAACTTCATCCTGTAACTCCTGCAACTGATCCAACAATTCATGACTGAAGCAGTACTTGCCTTTGGGAAAGCTATATAATTAAAGCAAATGAATCCTTTAAAGGTAATGCCTTCTTTTTTGCCAGGGTGAGGATTGATATTCATTTTTCTTGTATTCCTAGTCTTTGGACAGTTTGGGAAATTGTGAATCGTAGGGCTTGTCTAAACAGGGAATTTATTGTACAATCTGGGGTGTGAAGGTAAAGCACAGTCCCTCTCTCAGTTATTGCCTGTCACTAGAGTCATTTGAATGTATTGTTTGTAGAGTTGTGTACGAGTGCAGTGCAAGCTGGAAAACATAAAAAGACCCACCGGCAACAAGGGTTCTTGTTCTTAAATAATTTCTTGCATTGTTATTTGTTAAGGTACAACACAACCCACAGTACCAGGCAGCATTCGTCAATGAAATGGTGTCATTTCTAATGCTCATCTCCCAAGTGCAGAATGACACCTCCCTGTGGCATCTCCTTTTGCTGGCCCCAGATGTGTTTCAGGGCAGCGTGCAACTGCAAGACATAATTGATTTCCTTCAGAACGCAAGCAGGTAAAAGTACAGAAAATGCCAGGAGAGGCACTGAAAGTTGGTGGATTTGTGTATTGAACTCTAAGGACATGTTGCTTCTCATCTTGAAGGAAGGATGTTAGCTTAAAAGCATGATTTATTTGGGGGGTGATATGGCTCCATACTAACGCAGCTCTAAAAGTCTCTATGGACAGTGAGCAGTATTTTGATTTTTCAATGACTCTTGTGTCACTTTTTAAATGGGAATTTGATATGAACTTTTAGTTTTCTTCCAGCTTGTGTAGAGGCACTGTCAAGCCCATGTGCAGATAGAAAGGTTTATGAGTAACAGCCACTGCCTTTGGTTGAAGAAAGGCTCTCCTGGCTGTATAGTTGTTCTGCTAAAGAAAGCAGCTGGCTCCTTCTTTCCAGAAAAGCACAGAGCCAAATTCAAGTTGCTTTGGAACACCTCAAACATTTGTAGGGGAGCCATAAATTCTTTTTTTTTTTCTAAATTTATTACCTGATTTACTGCTGGTTTATCTTTCAAGATTGGTCCCAAGAAAGCAGAGAAGAGAGGGAGCCTGGTTTTTAGTATATGGGGCTTTGAATATGTCTGACTTTAAGAAGGAAAGTACCAGTTACGTTCTTGCTCAGTGGTTATATGAAAAACAGAGCTGGCTTAACTGCATTAATTAACTGTGCTGAAATATTTGATGCTGTATGCAGCTAGGACAATAAAAACTCTTCTAAAATAGGCTTAGCCTTGAAATCCTTTTCCTGGTCTGTAGTTGGGCTAAACTCTCACTGATCTCTAGAAGACTTGAGTTACTGAAGGGATTAGGGGACTCTGTTCCAAAATCATTTACTGAATAAGTGACTGACACTGCTATAAATTATTCTGAATAGTCCACTTGTTACAGCACATGGAGGACAGCAAGCAACTGAGTGTCTTCAGACTTTTTTTTTTTCCCTTGGATACATGAACAGTTGGGTAAAGACGCCAAAAGAGCTTGTAGAAACTTTGCCACTTTGATTACACCCAGGCTTAGAGGGACTCACTTTTCACCACTGGCATGTTGCCAAGGCACTTAAAAAACTGTACATTTAATATCTAGGTAATTTGTCATACTGCATTGTGAGAACTATTTGTAAGTTGTAATGTCCTTATCCTTAAAGGAGTCAGGAGCAGTGTGGCAAAAATTTTAATTTTATTCAGAGATGTTTTGTCCATGCTGCTGTTTCAGTCACAGGATTATTTCATTTCTTTGCATTTACTGGCTTGCAGAATCAAGCCTGAGAACCAGCACTGTTTGAGTGTCCAGGAAGAATTAATATTTACTGTGCTGCTCTGCTTTGCTCTACAGCTGCAGAGCTGGGCAAAGTTACATAGGCACAACAAAGAGGCACATAGAATTTCATCACCAGAACTGTGCAGTGTTTTTATGCCTAGCATCTGGCAGTGTAAGTGCATGAGTAAAGAGTTATTGCAAAGAGATTGCACAAATAGTATTTTTAATGATGCTTACAAAAGCACAGCTTATCGAGCCTGGCCATATCTTTTACTCAGGCAGTACTGACCTCCTAAAGAAATGCCGTATGGGGAATTTTTTTGAGGTATAAATATGAAGATACAGAAGAAGAGAACTTTTGCTCATTGTGGCATCTGTTTTAACCACGTGATAAACAACACCACCATGAAACAGTAACTTCAAAGTCATTAATTCTATAGAAAGTTTAGGAGCAAATTTTATTACCCACGCAAACCTGGTTTACAGACTGAATTCACAAATGCTCCTGTTTGTTGCTTTAAGATAGTTTTTCAGATACGCACGTAAGCTGAACTTTTTGTCTAAAGCCAATGTCTGCAAAAGCCCTGCAAGACTGAAATAAAAGGGCAACAACAACACTTGTTTCCATGTTGGCTACCTTCTCATCTGTATGATATGCGTCCACTTTTGGCAAGCCTATGCCTCCCTCCTCCTTGGTTCTGCCATTGCTCAACGAAATACATCATTTATAACGGCAGTTTCTTCCCCCTCTAAGACTTTTACTAACAAGCACCTCTGCAGAATGGAAATGGTGAGCACCAAGTCCACGAAACCTGCATGAAGACATTATGTTAAATGAGGAGAACAGAGATCCCTGGTGCTCTGTTCTCACTAGCAAGTCTGTTCCTACAAATCAATATGTATTTATTCATGCCACTGAAATCAGCTCAGTTAGGTTCTTTGTGTGTATCACCTGCAGAACTTCAGGCAGGCGAGAGATTGTGCATTTCATGGTGGCCCTATGCCTACAGTGAAGAACTACTCTTTATACAGGAGAAGCAAAAGGGACTAATAATCACCGTGAAGTTTTCAGTAACCTGCACACATTGAACAGACAGTCTTTTAAATTACTTCCTCTGTGATACAATATGCCTGATTATCAGCTTGTTCTTTCCTAAGACCGAAAAACATTCCTTGCTTCCCTGTCAGCCTGGTTATTACTGTATAAAAGAGGAAAGAAGGAGAATTGGAAACGGTAACAGTTATTTGTGATTGCTTCTTCCATCCACAGATGTTGTTCCCTAGGGATCCCTGCTCTCCCTTGAGCCTTGTCTGCTCGCTTCTTGGTTTCTTTTAGGAGGAGATTCACCCGCAGCAGTGAATCACTGGGCTGGCATATCACCTGAGTGTTTTCTAAGCCCTATTGTGAGGATTTAAGTGGTCTATAGATTTTGCATAACCCTTTGAATAAGTACATCTAATGAGTGCAACACATATGTTTGTGCTAACATACCGCCATGGCTTTCCCATCAAAGCCCTTTGTATTTGTATTTTGTGCATGATCAAACAAATAATTAAAAGTAGGGGCAATGGCTTGTCTGTCAGACGTTTTAAGAATGATAGGCTGTACTCCAGCTGTTTCCTATTTGAACACTTGTTTTATTTCTTCTCATAAACCTGTGACCACAATTTATTTCCCTTGTTTTTTGTTTTTGTTTGTTTGTTTTTCCCCCTTTTAGCATTGTGCTGGCAGCTCAGAATGTCTCTGCGTCGTTTGTGACTGATGATAGTTTCAAAACTGTTCAGAATGGGGTTACAGATCCTCCATATTCCCTGAACTGCTTGGAGCAAGGTAAGACTCCTCTATATAGTCATATCTCTGCTGAAAACCTGTGGTGCTGAGGAGAAGCAAACTGCAGGCTAATAAGTAACCATACAGATTGCATACTGTTCAGGGCTCAGCATAATGAATTCTTCTTTCAGCTTTTTAAAAATGTGAATAAAATACCTCATTTCAAATGGAAAAGTAAAAAAGCTTGGTTTTGTCAGTAGACAATGAATTAACATGAGTTTGCAGTCTCAGTGGAAATGGGGAGCAGTAATTTTTTACCTTGATTTTTTATTTTGGGGTGGGGGAGTGTAGAGTGGGTGTCAAAATCTGCCTCTAGTTGTGGGCTCTATCAAACTCACCTGGATATATCAAGGTAGGGGCTGGGGCTGAGCTGCACAACAAGCTGTAAACGTCAAGATTAGCCATTCCTCTAAACCCCTGCTGGCTTACAGCAGGAGCAGAGTCCTTGACATCCATCTCGAACTGAGGTTATGTGATCGGGCAAGGGAAAGGTATAGCGTCTAAATGCTACAAGGGACAGGTGGGTAAATGCTGTCCATTCTCTACTTGTTTGATGGAGATTGTGGAAGTTGAGGTGTATAAGAAGAAAGCTGATTAATGCAGTGCAAGTAGGGAAAAGATGGAGATGTGGCTAGTGAGAGGACTGGACACATGGGGATATCAAGATGACTGTAAGTGGCTATGGGGAGACATAAATGATGCTGCAGACAAAGCCTAGGTGCAAGTAGTAAAAAAAGCATTCCGAAATGAAGGGAAAGAAACAGTAATAAATATTAGGCCACTTTATGCTGCTGCATTACTGATGGCAAAGTTCTCCTAAAGCAGGAGGAGAGCTCCATTAGCACCCAGATCACAGGGGCATTGAGCTATTCCTCAAATGGGAAAACATTTCTACAATGGCACGTAGCATCCTGACTTCCTTCGGAAGGCCAGGAAGAGTTACACCCCAAAAGAGCACTCAAATTTCTAACCAGGATCTTGTGTCTTGTCGTAGGAGCCTAACTTCATACATGCATGTTATCCTTGACAGATTTGCCAGACAGCTCTTCTCAGTTTCAAAACTAATGTGATCTTTACTAATATAGTCTTTACATGTTCGTTGTAGATAAAGAAAAAAGTTTGGTGACCAGATATATTTGTAATCCCTTTGTTAACTGGAAAGAGAATCGGACTTTAGTATCTGAATTGGAGGAAGTTCTGAGGTAAGACATTAGCTAAAGGGATATTACTAACAGTATAATTCAAATCTATGATCTTTGCTCTAAATCACCTTACATTTCCACTTGCATTGATTTCATATTCACTAAAATGCTTTTTTTTTCCCCTCCAGAAAAATAAAGTCACCAGAGATTGGTGGAAAAGACTCCAAGAGGTCCATTAATTCAGATGATTTAGAAGCCATACAAAAGTCTCTACATCGTTTAAAAGGCTTTGAGAAAAAAATGAAAAGAAGTGAATTAAAAAGCTTAAATCTATTCAGAAATTTGAAGAATGAAACATTACAGAAATTGTATGCAATTCTTGAACTGGGAATGAATCCACATCATGATTATAAATTAAAGGAACCATATAATAAGGAAATAATTGATGAAATCTATAACTTCACATCACTGCAATTACAGAGTGACTTTAATGGGACTTCCATTTTCAATATAATGACCCAGTGGAAAGAAATTCAAAGTGCTTTAAAATTAGTTACAATGATTTGGAATCCAGTTCTGTTAAATAATTCTAATTTTAGTACAGTGCAAACTAAGGATGCTCTCACAATGTTGCTCTCCACTAGCATGCCATCATTTCTGGAAGACTTCCGAGACCGTTTAAATGGAATGCAAGAAATACCATCTTTGTTTTCCGATTATCTGCTTAAGCCTGTGACCTACAGAAACTTTCCAGACCAGCTCCTAGCTCTCCAGAAGATGTTTTTTATAATGACAGACACAAACATAGGTTATCAATACCTACTGATGCCTGTGTTTGAACTCATGCGGAAAGTAGAAAGCTCCATGGGTGAAGCCTGGTGGGATGAGTTGAATGCCTATTGGCGCATTGGGGAGAAAATGAGATCGATGAAGTGGAATAACACAGGCATCATAGCCTATGGGCAGTTTTTAGAGGTATTAAACAGCCATTTACAAAAGCTGAATAATAATTCAAATAGTGTCTTCAGTGAACAATTGGATCAACTGTCAGAATTTATAATAGCTGTGTTTAATGAGTTTGGGGAAAACTCTGAGGTAGCCAATATCTCACTAGTCACTCAAGCCATACAAAAGACTTTGTACATATTAAAAGACTTACAGCTGAATTATAATGTCAGTAAATTAAAATCTATAGAACTTTTCTTTAATTTTGACAATAAAACCTTTGAGAGCTTGTCTGAACTTCTGAGGACAGGAATGAAAGTCCTTGATTCTACAAGTGCCAGTGAAGCTTCCAGTAAAGAAATAATTAACTATGTCTATAACTTAACACATCTTATACTGCAGGACTTCAGCCAGTCTTCCTTACGGCACAATACTTCACTAGAAGCAAAAATTTGGGAGTTCTTGCATTTAGCCTTGAGTCCTTTCCTAGAGAACAGCGACAATGGTTATGGGACACCCCAGAACTGCTCTGCTGAGGACATACTCTACATAACACTTGAGATGCTGTTTGAAAATACCACTCTAAGCGAGTCCTTAGCTGGGAGCCCCTGCAAACCCCTCTTTGATTCCATGAGCGTGGAGAGTGGAACAATGGGCAATGACACCTTTAAAAAAGTGTTCCAGCTTGCCATAACGAGCCTGAAACTGTCTCCGGAGTTTGCTGCTGTCTACAAGAACAGCAGTGAACACTTTTCCAAGGAGCTGTCGTGCATCATCCAGTCTCTGCAGTTTTCTCTGAGTTTCCTTTCCAAATTAAACCTTGTCTCCGAGCTGGAAAACTCTTGGGTACAGGAGAAGGCGAGAGCTCTGACTGCTCTCACGGAGGGGCTGCTGCAGAGTAATGCCTCCTGTCCCATCCCAGTCCAAGATGTAGGTGATGTGCTCCCATCTCAGCTTTTGAACATGCTCATTCCTTTCATGGTGAATGAAACAGTACTGAACTCCCTAAATTTCTCTGACAGCTCAGCAGACTGGCATAGGCTGCCTGTGTTTTCCCATCTGTTACCGTCTATTTCCACGAGGAACAGCAGTATATATGAATTGCTACAGGTGGGCAGAAATGCTTCCAACCAGTCTGAGTGGGGGCATTTCTCGCGGCTGTGGCACGTCACTGGCAACGTGTTGACCACCAAATGGAACCTAACGGAAGTGGGTGAATATGTGAAACTCCTGGAAACTATGAAGAAAGCTCTAATTCTTGTGGACTTCGGGGTAGCTCCTGGAAAAACTTTAGTACATCAGATCTTTCAGAATTCTAGTGGAGGAATTAAATCCTCAGATCTGAATGATTTGTATCGTTCATTAAAACTCTCTTTCAATTCAAATTCTGCCGCAAACAGCACGCTGGACTTGGAAAGAATATTTCAAGAAATACTTCCATTGTATGAAGCTGGTGGTGAAGAATTGTTCTACCCTAATCCCTACGGAAAAGAAAATGAAGGTGTTCTAACTATGGCTACAGTGATTTGGAATCAGATAATTTTAAACAGGACTCATTTTAATACAGAGAAAGCATGGGAGGTTATCAAAATGATTGCACTTCATGCAATCTCGCTTGAAGACATTGAAAATTATCTCAGCACAAGTGAAAAAGTGTCATCATTATTTTCTGACTTCTTGTTGACCCCTGTAACTTCTGAAAATTTTGCAGAACAGATGTTGTCCCTTGACCAGCTTCTTGCTGCCATGGCAAAGGTGAATACCAGTGATCATTATCTGCTGATCTCTTCTTTGTCTAAGCTAATGCAGAAACTCCAGAGTTCCCCTCATGGAAGGCAGGGAAATGAACTTCATGCTTTCTGGCAGATTGCTGAAGTACTCCAGTCCATGAACTGGAATACTACAGACACTCTCACTTCCCAGTCACTTCTAGACATACTGCAAAATCAGTTCAGTACCATGAAAAATTACTCCAGTCTTCCTTTCAGTAAGGAACTGAAGCAGCTGGTAAACTTTGCATCTTCCATATTTGAGCTGTTCGGTGAAGAAGACTCCAGAGGAACCAACATCTCCGTATACTTGCAAGCCATGCAGAGGAGTATCTTAATTTTAAAAGGTTTGCAGAAAAGTTATAATATCAGTGAGCTTGAAACTATCAACCTATTATTTGATTCTTACAGTAACTATACCCAGAGACTGATTGAAGTATGGAGAGCA